CTAAAACTTATATGTTTTTTTAAATACGATATTTTGTATATTATTTTATTTTCCTTGTTACGAGCTTTCTAAAATACTTATTTTCATAAACGGGGTAAAAATGCATTATTTAACTTTATTACATAGTCGGCCGGTTTAAATTAGGTAATCAAAACAATCAACTAATTTATTCGACGTAAAATGTTGGTTATTGGCATGTTATTTAAAAGCAGCACAAGTTCAGTTTCCGTGTAGTTTATCAAAATATCACGATGCAAAGCAAAATTATTTGGTAAAATTAAGTTAAATAAAATAAGAGCCGTTTAGCAGTTTAGCAGTACCTAAATAAATAAATATAGAGTATATTATAATTTTCGAAAGCTCTCGTTAATCAAAGATTAACAAGGCAAATAAAATAAAAAATAATATATAGAGTGTCCTGTTTAAAAAAAGAACATAAGTTTGAGTCATTTTTCGAAATAGACAGCTCCCAACGAAGCACCACTTTCGTCACTGCCATTCTACCTGAAAAACGAGACACGGGTGGTGGGTAAGTACTCAATAGGTAGAACAAAACAAAAATCAGGGTATCCGGTATATACCTGTACATTTAGATGAACAGTCTAATTTTATAAAAGGTATTTCCAACGACCGCATAGTAAATACCCGATATAATACCAGTAATGTCAGAATACGAGTATATATTTCTTATAATATTATATATATATATATATATATATATATATATATATATATATATATATATATATATATATATATATATATATATATATATATATATATATATATATATATATATATATATATATATATATATATATATATATATATATATATATTGTAGATATTATATATTGGTATATTTCTATTCCCGGCATTATACCGGGTATTTACTATGCCGTCGTCGGAAACTCCTTTTATTAAAATTAGGATGTTCATCTAAATCTACAGGTATATACATATATACCCAGATTTTATTTATCTACAAATTGGGTACTTACCCACCGCCCATCACTGACCCTTTTCACCTTTTCGATAAGTTATAAGATAATCGAGATACAAAGGTTATCGAAAAATGCAAAAATTCCTACTAATTAAAAAATAAAAAGTAAAAGAAAGAAATAAGAAATAACTTTGAACTAAGAAGGCTAGGATAAATATGTATTTCAAAGTTATTGCTTATTTCTTATGTAGCATATTTAGTTTCATAATAAGTAGAACAATGATGTGAAAACAGCATCTTTATATCTCTACTCATAAAACAAAAACCCCATAAAACACACACAAATGGGACATCCTGTACAAATAGCATCCTGTACATCGCCAGTCGATATAAAAATAATTCACACACAATAGTCTAAAAAATGGAAGAAAAAAACAATATTGTCTTCATATTTGTGAAAAAATGCAATGTCCATATTTATGTAATCGTAGCGACAAAAATAAAAAAATAGAAATAATGTGCATGATGCCTTTACAAAAATATCTGAAGAAATGGGCATTGACATCATTTAAACGTTAATGATTTAAACTTTACTCTATTGTTGACTCGCCTTGTACATTCATACTGATTTACCGTGTACACGATACTGAAATATTCGGATTTATCAAAAAAAAAATATATTATTAAAATTCAATTTTTATTTTTGACACGACAAAGAATTGCAGTTTTATAAAATAAAAATTATGCGCCTTTCGGATTTTTTAAAAATTTTAGAGGTTACTAGATATTTCGTATTAAACATGTAGCTGCTATATTAAAAATATTTTGTGGTGTGTTGTTGCATAACTGACTAATTTCCAAGCATCGAATAGACGAAGGAAGGAAGCGAAGGAACGAAGGAACGCGAGGAAGTAAGGCGAGGAAGGAGCGAAGTGTGAGTATGGGGCTTAAGATTAATATGTTTTTATTATTTATATTTATTTTTGTTGATAATTATTCTGTGAATTATTTTTTTTTGAGTATTATAGAAATGTTAATAAAGATAGCAATAGCAAGTTATAGAAAAATAAGAAAAAATAAGTAGTGGTCAGAATTATACTATGGAAACGATTAACATATTGTATTTTAGTTATATTTTTAGGATGTATGTATGAATGTAATCTGAATTTGTATTTGTTGATCGCATAGAAAACCTCGCACAAAAAACTTTTAGTTTTTTCAGAGGTAAATTTATGTTTATTGTATATTTATTGATACATTGTAATTTATTGAGTATATAAAATAAATAAACATCATATTATTATTATTATTAACCTCGAGGTTCAGAATGAAGCTTTATACTTTTAAGTTTACGATCATTGACAATATCTAAAAACCCAATTAAAATTAATAGAATATCCTAGCAAGAGCTTACGGTAATCAGTTTATCCATAGAGAAAGCCTTAGCTTATAAAACAATAAACTTTTGATTTCTAACTATATTTACTCTTGACGGATGATAATCAAAGGCCAAAACGACATTCCTGGCAAATTTTAAACTATAATTAGTGGAAATGTTAAAACTTTGGTAACTTTATCCACTAATTGAAAATTCCTACCTCTAGTTTTAACGTTCAGCATTCAGAACATTCAAATTAGAAGATGAAGTTATCGAAACCACTAATTTATTCCACTAATTGCGAGGTTCTGAATGAAGCTTTATGTGTTTTTGCTCCTTACTCTCCGGCATCTTGTAAAATGAAAGGAAATAAAAAGTACGGTCTCTCTGGTTTCCAAATTCAAACTTTGTCTAACTAAGAAGCGATAAGGCAATAAAAATGTCAGTTTATAGAGCGTGTTTTACATGTCTAACGAAATCGAGCCATTTTACACGATTACATTATCAAATTTCTTTATCAAAGATTTTTATTTCATCAGAGAATTTGAGAGTGTAATATGTCGTGTGATTTTATAAAATATTGTATATTAACACTGTCAGATTTCTCATCAAATATCTTAAATAAAAGATATTTGACAAAGAAATATGATAGTGTAATACAAGCCTAACTACCGATCTTGTCTAATTAACAAATTAATGTCTAACTAATAAGCTTATATTGTATCATGAAAAATATTTCTATTTTTTCCTATAGTTATAAAAAAATAATTAAATCAATATCAAAATTCTAATTTATAAATAATAGTTTTGTAAGTTACTGAATTTGTTATGGTTAACCATGAAAACCAAATTAAAACCATATATATTTTAACTGATAATAATAATTTACGTTTGGCAGCTTTAGGTATTCCTGGATTTATATTGCACCACGAAAGAGGCAATATACGAAGCGTAGGCATCCGCAGAATAAACAACTATCACTCCAAACGGCATTATCAAATATATTAAAGCAGATATAAAGCCTGTAATTCGATGGTAAGCTATCTCAGCTACGGATATTGGCTCTGCGTCTAAGTACATGTCATTCGCTCGAAAGATCCGACCTCGTCTCTAGACTCGACACTAAAGCTGTATGTAAAGTATAACATTTTGATTATGTTTACACGAAAGAAAGACAAGTAATAATACAAAGAAAAATGTATGTGGAATGTTTAATTAAACTAGATAGTATGATGATAGCATGCTACCAGTGATTTAAATAAAATGAAATATAAATGCCGAATAAGCACAAAATGAGAATTAGTTGCCGCAGGAGGTAACATTGCATTCTCCTAAAATTTTGTAGGAAGAAATAAGAACTCAGTTATAGGAATCAATACTATGAAAAAATTCTGTTAAAAATTTAATTAAACTATAGAGAATAATATATAATATAGATGGTTTAAAAAAACGTAGAATGTCGAAGAAGCCTCACATGAGAACTAGTTGAGAGAGGAAATATAAAAATTCATTTTTCTATAATTTTGCAGTACAAAATAGTTGACTTGTAAGACTTGTAAGAAGAAGCCTTATAAAAAATTAATATTGTTTTATTTGATAGATTGTTAACTTACAGATCTTGTTTGAATTTTAGTAACTATTTTTCCAACTTCATTTATTTTGAGATGAACTGTCGGCAGTGGTTTAGGATTATTTACAACAGCATCTTTAATTTATACAGTACTACCAGTCATGAACTATGCATGCAAAACATGGGCACTTAAAACGGACATCATAAGAAAGCTGCAGGTCGCACAACGCTCAATGGAAAGAAATATGCTGGGAGTAACCAAGAGAGACCGTAAAAGATTAGAGTGGATACGACAAAAGACACAGGTAATAGATGTCATCCATAGAGCCAAATCCCTCAAAAAATAGCAATGGGTAAGATAATTTGCAAGAAGAACGGACAACAGATGGACCACAATAATTACAGCATGCCACCCACGAAGAAGAAGGCCGAACCTGAGATGTGACCATGATATTAGAAAATTAGCATAGATAGCTAGGGTCCGCATAGCCAACAATAGACAACAATAGATCCAACTACAAGAAGGTAAATATGGGAGGGAGGCTACACCATAATTGGAAATGGTTGAATAAGATTTTTTTTGATGAGGTGAAGAAAAAATATTTTAGTATTTTCCTTGGTTTGTATAATTTCTCGAATGCATCTATATGTAACTTTCCATGATGTTTCACTGCTTAACAGCCCTTGCATCATATTTTTAGTATTAAAGACTTGTTCGCCACTGTCCATTCATTGCAGAGGAATAGTGTGTGTTCACTATCAACTTTCTTGCAATACATGCACAAATTTGAGGTGGATCTCTCCCTTTTATACAAATAGCTGTTAAAGCAACTATGCCCTGTGAATGCCTGAGTTAGAAAATAGTCTGTCTCTACAAAACTTCTCTCTAACCAGGTATTAATGTCTGGTATGAGATCATGTCTCCATCTACCATATCTATCTAGATTCCACTCCTTTCGCCATTCATTCATTGTTTCTTGCCTCCAGTTTTGATGTCCCTATGTATTTCTCTCTTGTCTCCTCTACAAGTAGGTGAATAGGAGGCACCCCGGATATGACATTTAATGCTTCAGCGGAGACCGTTCTATATGCACTGCAGATCTTGAGGTTCACATTACGGTGTATATAGCGTTAAGTTTTTGCCTTATATATCCCTTTGATATTGCGTAGTGCCACACTGGTGTGGCATATAACAGTTGAGAGTGTGCTACACAGGCTAGGATTCTACGTTTAGAAGCAAGTGGCCCTCTTATATTAGGCATCAACCTACACAGTGCGGTCAAAGTTCTTTCCGCCTTTCGTATGACTTGATTTATATGCTCGCCGAATGTAAGCTTTGAATCAAGCCAAACTCCAAAGTATCTTATTGCATTTTTTGGAGCAATTGTTGTATCGAGAAGCTTAAATGAAATATGAGAAAGTTTTCTCTTGGTGGTTAATAAAACCGCTTCAGTTCTGCTTGGTGCTAGTTTTAAACCTTTGCGCTCGATCCAGTTGGCCACTCTTTGCAGTCCTGCATTAGCAACACTCATGAATGTCTTTTCGTTTTTGGCCGTGTTAGTTTTGGAGTGTTACTCCTTCGGCCATAACTGTTTCCAGTAGGTCGTTGTACTGGATGTTCCATATTGTTGGTTCAAGTACTGACCCCTGTACCTGCTGGTTACGTTAATTTGCCTTTTAGCAAGTTTAAGTATCATCTTCAATTAAAATTGTTCTTTCAGAGAGATAAGATGTCACCATGTTAGTCAGAGTGGCATCTGGTGACACCATAATTGGAAATGTTTGAATAAGCTGAGAATGATAATGATGATGATGATGTCAAAGTTTACACTCAATGTCTCTCTCTGCCTCTCTGCAGTCGTAATTCGATTTCGAACGTCAAGACACAAACTTCTACCGTTCTCATTACATCAGACACCGATAGGCTTTAAAGTTGTAATTTGGTATGTACTTTTGGGTCCAATTTGGTCCTAAAGGGAACCGCCATCTCGTACATATTCCCTTAAATTTGTCCTGGATTGCTAACTTCTCATTTTTTCTTTTGAGGTGTATAATACTTTTTACGTGCAGCGAGAGCTGAATCTGAGCTGGAGCCAATATGGAACTCACTCTCTCCTTAGGCGCACTAGAATGTCACCCACAAAACATTCACCCCTGCCATTCCTATCTGGACTCGGTGTACGCCTCTTCTCAAGTAGACGTAGGACTGTTTTTTAGTTATTTCTTTAGTTATATTAGATACCTCTGCTTAAACCCACAAAATTCTAAAAGTTACTGGTTTGTGGAAGTATGCTTTGGAATTAAATAAGACAATAGAAAATTTCATTAATGACTTATATTTAATTAACAATTATAAACAATCAATGTAATTGGCTGTGACAGTCTCGATTATATGAGATTAGATATGCAACTGGAATACTTAAGTGTTTCTGCTTCGGTTGGTTGGGAGAAAGGCCTCACCCTCTTCGCTGCACTCGTCCGCTGGTGGGTAGCGTGATTGTCCGGCTAACGTTGGAGAGCTTGTGAGACTCCACCAGTCTCAGTGCGTGAGCTACTTATGGGGAGGGTCAATTCTCGTATCTTCCTAGAAGATAACAAACAGCAGTATTCTACTCAACACAATTGATAAGTACCCAGTTTTGTGGTGGTGTTCTAAATTACCAATTGAACTGTCTGTTGGTTGCCAATGAAGGTACAATAAAAATAACTTATGATTAAACAACATATTAGTGATTCAAATAAACAATAATCAATATCTAAATCCAACTACTAATTATTATAGTAAAAATTATAATTAAAATTTAAAAAAGAAAATAGGCAATGACAGTTTAAATTAGTTATAATTGAAAAGATTGTCTAAATTATTTAAAAAGAATACAAAGAATATAAATTTCATAAATGAATGAATTTTATAAATGAATGGTTTTTGCTGCCGAATTACTAGAATACAATATTTCAAGGCAGATGACGCATCTATTCAATAATTTTTATTCGAATAGTTTTCAACGAATGTTTTCTTACTAGCTATCGAATTATTCGAATGAATTGCAACTATCGAATGTTTCGATAGTATTCATTCGATAGTTCCCACTACTAATATAGATGGTTTAAAAAAACGTAGAATGTCGAAGAAGCCTCACATGAGAACTAGTTGAGAGAGGAAATATAAAAATGCATTTTTCTGTAATTTTGCAGTACAAAATAGTTATAGAAAACCCACGAACGAGATAAAAAATAATGGAGACTTGTAATAAGAAGCCTTATAAAAATTAATATTGTTTTATTTGATAGATTGTTAACTTACAGATCTTGTTTGAATTTTAGTAACTATTTTTCCAACTTCATTTATTTTGAGATGAACTGTCGGCAGTGGTTTAGGATTATTTACAACAGCATCTTTAATTTATACAGTACTACCAGTCATGAACTATGCATGCGAAACATGGGCACTTAAAACGGACATCATAAGAAAGCTGCAGGTCGCACAACGCTCAATGGAAAGTAATATGCCGGGAGTAACCAAGAGAGACCGTAAAAGATTGGAGTGGATACGACAAAAGACACAGGTAATAGATGTCATCCATAGAGTCAAATCCCTGAAAAAATATAATAAAAATAATAATAATGGGTAAGATAATTAGCAAGAAGAACGGACAACAGATGGACCACAATAATTACAGCATGCCACCCACGAAGAAGAAGGCCGAACTTGAGATGTGACCATGATATTAGAAAATTAGCATAGATAGCTAGGGCCCGCATAGCCAACAATAGACAACAATGGACCCAACTACAAGAAGGTAAATATGTGAGAGAGGCTACACCATAATTGGAAATGGTTGAATAAGATTTTTTTTGAGGAGGCGAAGAAAAATTATTTTAGTATTTTCCTTGGTGTGTATAATTTCTCGAATGCATCTATATGTAATTTTCCATGATGTTTCACTGCTTAACAGCCCTTGCATCATATTTTTAGCATTAAAGACTTGTTCGCCACTGTCCATTCATTGCAGAGGAATAGTGTGTGTTCGACACTATCAACTTTCTTGCAATACATGCAAAAATTTGAGGTGGATCTCTCCCTTTTATACAAATATCTGTTAAAGCAACTATGCCCTGTGAATGCCTTCGTTAGAAAATAGTCTGTCTCTACAAAACTTCTGTCTAACCAGGTATTAATGTCTGGTATGAGATCATGTCTCCATCTACCATATCTATCTAGATTCCACTCCTTTTGCCATTCATTCATTGATCTTGCCTCCAGTTTTGATGTCCCTATGTATTTCTCTCTTCTCTCCTCTATAAGTAGGTGAATAGGAGGCATCCCGGATATGACATTTAATGCTTCAGCGGAGACCGTTCTATATGCACTGCAGATCTTGAGGTGTATATAGCGTTAAGTTTTTGCCTTATATATCCCTTTGATATTGCGTAGTGTCACACTGGTGTGGCATATAACAGTTGAGAGTGTGCTATACAGGCTAGGATTCTACGTTTAGAAGCAAGTGACCCTCTTATATTAGGCATCAACCTACACAGTGCGGTCAAAGTTCTTTCCGCCTTTCGTATGACTTGATTTATATGCTCACCGAATGTAAGCTTTGAATCAAGCCAAATTCGAAAGTATCTTATTGCATTTTTTGGTGCAATTGTTGTATCGAGAAGCTTAAATGAAATATGAGAAAGTTTCCTCTAGGTGGTTAATAAAACCGCTTCAGTTCTGCTTGGTGCTAGTTCTAAACCTTTGCGCTCGATCCAGTTGGCCACTCTTTGCAGTCCTGCATTAGCAACACTCATGAATGTCTTTTCGTTTTTGGCCGTGTTAGTTTTGGAGTGTTACTCCTTCGGCCATAACTGTTTCCAGTAGGTCGTTGTACTGGATGTTCCATATTGTTGGCTCAAGTACTGACCCCTGTGGTACTCCGCTGGTTAATTTACCTTTTAGCAAGTTTAAGTATCATCTTCAATTAAAATTGTTCTTTCAGAGAGATAAGATGCCACCATGTTAGTCAGAGTGGCATCTGGTGACAACATAATTGGAAATGGTTGAATAAGCTGAAAATGATAATGATGATGATGATGTCAAAATTTACACTCAATGTCGCTCTCCCTCTCTCTGCAGTCGTAATTCGATTTCGAACGTCGAGACCCAAACTTCTACCGTTCTCATTACATCAGACACCGATAGGCTTCTTAAAGTTGTAATTTGGTATGTACCTTTAGGTCCAATTTGGTCCTAAAGGGAACCGTCATCTCGTACATATTCCCTTAAATTTGTCCTGGATTGCTAACTTCTCAATTTTTTCTTTTTGAGGTGTATAATACTTTTACGTGCAGCGAGAGCTGAATCCTGAGCTGAGCCAATATGGAACTCACTCTCTCCTTAGGCGCACTAGAGACAATACCCACAAAAAATCCACTCTCCTGCCATTCCTATCTGAACTCGGTGTACGCCTCTTCTCAAGTAGACGTAGGACTGTTCTTTAGTTATTTTTTTAGTTATATTAGGTACCTCTGCTCTTTTCCGTATTTTACCTCTAGTATATTTTGGGCCAGTTTTGAGACGGCTTCAAAATTTCCCATTCTTTCCGTCACTGCTCTCATGTCGACCGATTTTAGTCTAGTATCTCTTCAAATAAAAAGCACGGTTTAGTTTAAAACGCTTGTCGTTTTTATCGATGAATTAAAAAACATAGAGTGCATTAAACATCCGAGCCTGTTTCTGGCACCGTACTAGCGATTTAAACGGCCCAGTAGAGGTAACGATCGAGTGGCTATTGTTCGCTCTATAAGAGCAAACTTAAAAGGCCGATTACCTTTAGTTATCCAGACTAGACCTGACAAATTATTAGCAAGATTGAGTGGTAAGAATGGGTTTACATTTTTTTGTTACCCGGCTGTCGAATACATACAAACAAAATGTGCTTTATTTTAAACAAACGAGAAAATAATGCACATAGCAAAAAAATAGGGGGGTGGGGGTATTATTAATAAATGTAAAGAATAATGATGATTATAAAATATGAAAAAAACTAACAGTGTACCATGTTGAAAATTCTATGTAGTAATGAGAAGAGTGATAATTAGGAACTTCAATAATAATCAATTCATCTTTTCAAGAGAAAGCACAGCAGGATTTTTGTGATTTATGGATAAAGTACTTGATAGTATCAATGGATTAAAGTAAAACATGAAAAGGAATTGAAGTGTACAGTTTATTCATACACGTGTTATAAACGGTTTTAGTCAGCTATAGAAGCTATTTAAAATGATACATTTTTGAACGAAAGAAAACAAAAAATTGTACCTCCTCCACCAAAGAAATGGAATCATTCTCTAGAAGCAAATACATTTAAATTACCTATACCGCGGCCTTCCCATAAGTGCAATGAGAGAATTTATGTCCCAGTATTGAAGGAGGACAGAAAATCGAGTCGAATGGTTTCAAGACATAGGTTCATCCTTGTTTCGTCAAACCTCCTACAAACCAAGGATAGACTTATGTAGGAAATGCATTGAAATTCTATAGCCA